AGGCGACTGCAGGAGGCTCTGACCTGTCTGCGCTCCCCTACAGGACTTCAAACCGACTACATTATCGTCCCGTTGCTCTTCCCTCCCTGTAAAACGGCTGAGCTACGACCCAATAAAGAAATATTCCTCAGAAGGACTGACCTTGAGAGTCTTCAAGGTCTTTTACTCCATAAAACCAACATTTTGAACCTCATCATCCTCAAGATGTTTGATGTTTGTACAGATACTGCCACGTAAAGATTAAACTGTTAGTTGAATAACAAACAACAGAGAACTATTTTGATAATCAAATCCTAGTTTGAGGAAGTTTTCAAGAAATTACAGTGAAGGAATGCAAAGTATTCTAACATTTCAGGATCTCAATGGGTGTATTTCGTGCATAGAAATCTGCTACCTGAATGGAAAAAGGTCAACAATAATAGGCTTGTGTTGGCGCTTCCTCGTTTTATCCACTTCCTCTGTCACTTTGCGTGTTAGTAAATACTCGCTTTGATCAACTGTCAAACTATAATCAAGTATTCGACTTATCGCTCCAACTCCGCCATGTTTCTTGGTGGACGGCAACGCCTTGTAAATCATTTAATACCAAAAACCAGTTAACAAAACCAGCCGCCAAATTAAACACTTACTCCATGCCACGTTTCCCTCGCTGTAATAAAGTCTGAACGCCGTCTGTGGCTGCAACGAGACGCGGGACACAAAGGCGTTCAGAACATCTGCGAACAATTAGAGGCGAACCGAGCGAGCAGCACTTATACTGCCCATTACACTCGGATAAGTCACTGGCTCGGCTCTTCGTGATGTAATGCGGCGCAGCTTGGATATGCAATCTCAAAGTTGCACTGGGACAGAGACTCTCACAAAAACTTCAAACATGGAGCACACGGGCCGTAAATGTGATCCAGAGTGGAACCACATTTATCTGCAGCCCTGAGCTCATTCCTCTGGATGAAATGTTCCTCATGTTCTCCACCAAATATTGTTCCAAATGTGACACGTTTGTTCTTAAATCCTCCCTAGTCTGCGAGCTCATGTTTAGATTACTTCTGTTACATGCATCAAGTCCACTGCGCCGATCAAACTGCCACATTTTTGCCAGATTTATCGATAACTTGTCTGTAACCTGTCAGATTATAGTGAAAAATGTTCCTCCCAGGTGCTCAAGGTGAAATGTCTTCTTTCATCAGTCCAAAACCTAAAGATATTCAGTTTAATGTGATATAAAACAGGGACATCTCCATGTTTGACAGGCTGAGAACAGCATTTTTTGTATGAAAAATGACTTAAAGGTCCCATGTCATGCTTTTCTGGTTATTACCCGTCCCCTTGTGTGTTATGAAGGTTTTTCTGCATGTAAACGGTCTGCAGAGTCACAAACCCTCAAAGTACACCCGGTAGCGAGTAAAACTCTTAACACAGAAAAGACCTGTCTATGCTGCCCCAGAACGCCTCGTTGGAGATTTCTCATCTTCCATTGTTTTCTTCCTGGGTTCTGTGACGTGTGAATACCCAAATCAACTACAAATGACCTGATTGGCCCAAATGGACCAATCGGCGGAGCATCTCACACACCAGGATCCCTTGGCTAACTAACAGGGAGTCCCCATTGACTTGCATAGTGCTCCCTGAACGCTGGTAATAGACGAGTTGGGATCGCGGAGAAATGCTCTCTGCAGACCCATTCTCACAGCGTTTATAAACCTTTTTCTTACTCAATATCAAGCCACACTTATTGTTTTTACTTCGGCTGTGAGTGTTTGTGTGTGCTCAGGATGAGTTTCGCTTGTTCTCGCTGTATCACCGACCCGGAAACCTGTCTGCTCCTCGCAGCAGCTCGCAGCAACGAGCCTCGCAACGTCCCGACCAATCAGAGCACACTGGGCTCACAGGGAGGGGGGGTGCCGGAGCTCCAACAAGCCGTTTAGGACAGAGAGTGAATACACATACTACTATACAGAGATGCTGTATGAGAAACCAATGTGAGTTTGGAAAATTGCACAATTTAAATCTATTCTAGTAGACCTCAACAATGGAAATATGATCAGTAGAAATGGCCATGACATGGGACCTTTAAAGATGGATCTCTTATCAAAAATGTTTGGTGCTCATTTTACGAAAGACTAATCCATTTGTCAACTCATCATGGCAGCTCTTAACATTCTCAACATTTTTACCAAACTCTGCATTTCGGTCCTCGTGGTTGTTTATTAAACTCCCCATTAACTTAAAATATGTGTTTTGCTTATTGTTCCCCCCCCCTATTTTTTTGTTTTAAACTGTCCATCACGAGTCCAACAAAGTTACAAGAGTACAAAGATCAATCAGTGGAGTGTTCTTTAAAAACACGTTTGGAAATGACCGTTTATAAGATCAGACTTTAATCTGAAAGACCTCAAACATGCTAAAAAGACAGTCAAATCCCCTTGTCTCAAACTGTTCGTCATTTGTTTGAATCATCACGAAGGCTCTTTGTGCCACAAAGTCTTAAAGGGTTTTCTAACATGATATATTTATCTGCAAAAGCCAAAAAACAGCAAACGGCAACATTACATCAAAAGACAATTTGGAAAAAGGAAAGAGGGGCATGTCATTCCTGCAAACACTAAAAGATTCATCGAGCATTTCATGGGAGATTTTCAGGGAAAGTTAAATATTTTACAGCCTGAACGCAGGCCATCTCTGTGAAAGTCCAAAAAGGGTTCCAACAATCCTTACATCCTCATTTCTACTGGGCTAAAGTTTGGTCTTTGTTCAGAAAACGACGAGACAATGAAAACAGCATGAGCGCAAATCTGGCCCTAAACCAACAGACACAGGTCATTAAGCGTGGATGTTTTCCCTTTCAAAAGGACTCGGTAATAGCAGAGCAGCATTGTCTGACAGGTGTTACATCTTGTTGGCCTCACAACTTATTAAGATTACGGGCATTACATGTTTTATGGCCAATAAAAACCCTCCACAAACAAGACACAATTCGCTCCCCGTGACTAGGATGCCATTCAGAAAATGTGGAGGGTTTCACATTTACTGAAAAGCAGCATTGTTAAAGTTTGATCCAATAACACGTTATTTACTGCCAATAACGCTCCAAAAATGTTTCTCTCCTGGCCAACATGGGCACCAATCCAGTGTGTTACTTTGGAGGAGAACCCCTATAAATCCAAAATAATTAGTCAATTATTTTTCAAACAAAAATGCCAAACATTCTTTGTTTTGAGGATTGGCTGCTTTTCTCTGGTTTACATGATCATTAAGTTTCTTCAGATAAAACAAGCAACTTGAAGAAGTTCATGTGCATGAAAAAACCCTGAGTGGAATCGCAAAGTAAGAATTATATGAAAACAAAGTTATTCAAATAAACAGGACGTACTTAAAGCATGTGACCTGCACTTCCTTAAAAATGGCAGCTTACGTAAACGTCAGCCAACCAATGAGCAGTCTGTAACGTTTCCTTAAATTAGTACACGAAACAAACGTGAGTATCAAACTTTTATATTCATTTTTATAATGTGCAATGGCACATCCGGCGCTGTTTTAATTATGTTGTTTTACGGAACAAAGATGAGTGGAAACATGCATTTATTCACATTTTCTTTTGCCTTATTTGCTGAAAATGTGGTTCAAACTTTACCCTACATTTTTAGGTTTGTCAGTCTTGTTGCTTTCTTCACTTTTCCCCCTCTCACTTTGTAGTGTTTGTTTGCACCTGGATACTATTTAAACTAACAGGTGCTGATCACTAGATTTCTGAGGCTGTTATTGGTTTGTTATTGGTCCAAAGTTATTTTAGGGTCACTTTACCAACAACATTTTAACCAATCCAATACCTCTTGATATGTTTTGTTTGAAATTGTGACATACCCAGTGAAATATCTTACTGTGTGAAATAATGTCTGACAACATACGCTGCTTTATATGGACAAGTCATATCATACAGGTAACCTGCAGACATGTTGTATGATAAGAATACTATTGTGTTTTGCTTTCATTTTTTACAAAAAGGTTGAATTTCACAAGATATCTATATTCTGCCACATTGCAAAGAACTTTCCTTTCACTAAATGTTTCTAACTTAACTTATCAGGTGTATTTTCAGTTTATGTGTGAAGAAAGTAAATTATGAGATCAGCTTTGAAAGTAGTTAACATGCCATTAAATCAAACTCACACAAACACATCTTAAACTTTCCCCCTTTGGAAACAACCTTCTCTATCAAACTCTGCACAAACATCATTCTGCACAGAAATGCATATATAAGCACATTTTCAGTGGAAATCAGCTAATAGAAATTAACATCCCTGAAGACTAGTGAGGAGGTAAACTATGATGAATGTGCTGTATCCTCTTTAAAAATTAACTTCCTTTAGTAAAGTTGAGTATGAACCAGAGGTTTCTCCTCCTCTACACCCTGCTGCAGACACATTGCCCTTAATTCATTCATTCTTTGGGCTGATTTAAGCCTGTTTCCCTGTCTCCAGTCACACAGCCAGGATGGTTGACACAAGGGGTTTTATTTCCACCATAAAATGCTTTTGCATCCTTGTGAGAAAGATACAAAATTTACCGTTAGGAGTCAGATGTCAGTCGCGTTTTCCATGTTCCCCTTTCTGGTTTCTACACCTTAAAACGAGGCGAGAACTGCGACATGGATGTATTTAAGCTAGCATGGTCATGCAGTTAAACAAAAACGCAGAAATATGTCATTTTTGTGGATTGGGACAGGCCCTTCCATAAAAAACCCTGCACCGAAAAGCGTCCCCTCCGACCGGGTAATGCTGTTACGCCCTTGCGTCTCTCCCAAAAACGCTGTAAAACACCGGGGCGTTTCACGGTTTCACGTTAAATAAAACAAACCCACACATTTAGCTTCATTTCCGCTCAGCCCTTCACTTCACCGGTGCTGTTAAATCAATGAAAAGCCAAAAGCCTCTGTCGGTATTCCGGCAAACCTCTCGACCAGGCGAACATGAAACGACATTTTTCTTGTTTGAAAAACTCACCTCATTTGGATGGAAACTGCCGAAGACGACGCTGTTCCTCCATTGTTAACTAAATACTGAAATATACTAGTTTTTTATTTAAAATATATCTATCTTGTGCTCATTTTGGCAGCGTCCTCCCCCTGCAGCCGCTTTCTTCTCCTGCCTCGGCTTCAGTGTTTTGGGTTGAGGAAAAGTGATGTCATTGCATGAAATTGCATTACCCGCCCCATTTTTTTCAGAGGCTGTCCCCATGCTGCCAAACATAACTTTAACATATACTTTAAAAAAGCTGCTGGGTTTTTAGTGCCTTAAAATGTTCTGTGCATGCTTTAAATACTATCTGGAGATCATTAGGTTCAACAAATGCATCATAAACGTTTTTTGAAAAGAATAACCATTTATTTCAACAGACTGATGGGTACAATTTAAGTTATTTTGATTGTGTTTTTTATATTTACATTGTTTAAGACGGTGTTATTATGCATTACAGTTTGTTTATTTTTGTTTCATTCTTGTATGGGTATTATTTCCAAAGTTTGGGTTTTTATAACTTCAACTAATGATACCATAATATTATTTTAAGATGTAGGAACTTCCTTTTTTTTAACAAACAAACTGATTTGGTCCAATTTTATGACTTTATAACCCAGAAAAATCTAACTAAATGCAACCAAACAGAAGAAAAATGAATGAATTTCTAATAATAATCTATTGAAAACAGGCTGTAATTGTTCTCTAACCTCATCATCAGTCTTTGTGGAAGTGAAATTGTTCTTTAAAGAGACGCTGCATCAGATGGAGCTTCGGCTGCAGTAGAGTTGAAGTGAATAATCTGAAGTGTCTTCCTCTTCTTCCCCTCCAACCTCTGACACCACCTAGGTGGAAGAACAGGAAGTTAGGACTGTGGTTTTGACTGTAATTTTCAACCAAAGAATGCTTTGATTATTTGTGTTCATGTCATAGTTTAAGTTCCTACATATTTGTGTCAACATACAGTGCAAATATGAGGAGACATAAAAATAATTATGGCTTTCCCCATTGACGTGCTTCTGTGGGTTGTTTTGCAAAGTGTTGTTTCAAGTCTTGTTTGTTCAGGCAAAATGCACTTTTTGATGTCTTTTATACATAAATATGTGTACCCGGTGCATGGACGCGGGAAGGGGGGTTGCTGAGGGGGCTGCAGCACCACCATCTGCGGCGCACCTACAGTGTAAGCGCGTCACAGTTTCTCCGCTGCGAGGCTCCACTAGCATGATAGGTGCACTTTAAAGCAGAAGACGGTTGAGAGAAACAGTGAAATCTTTTGTGAAATTAGTATTCATCTGGAGTTGATTCCACTAGTGCCCAATATGAAGTTATTCAAGACTAAAGGTGCATTTCCATCCTCATGTCCCTATGTGCATTTTCAGATTGCACCTACAAACACCTGGAAAATGTGCACTGTGTTCTTAAACTGCAGACTAAAAGCCTTAGACATTTAAAATTGGAGAACATGTGCTAATATTCAGGAGGCTGTGCTCAAAAATATAACTATTTTATGAAAAAAGGAACTGTAATGTAGTCTTTGCCAACTTTATATGATAGAGCTCCCTTTTTAATTTATAACCTCGTCTGATTTTCTTAACATTAGTTTATTTATTAACGAGTCAAACACATGTTTAAGTACAAGTATTTGGAAATCAAATTAAACAAAAGGGCCTCAGTCTGACTTTAACAGCAGCTACCTTAAACCTCTAAGCATTATTATATTATATGTCCCTCTTTCACCAGGTAATGAACAGAAGATATATTAAATAATATGCTTTAAAACAAGAGCCAAGTGTGATATTAAAGTGCACCCATCATGCTATTTTTAGGCAATAGCATAGGTCTCAGATATATAAAAATATATAAAAAACATGTCTATGAAGTGTTTTGCTCAAAATACCAAACAGATCACCCATTCTAGCCATGCCTCATATCCCTCTATTTCACTTCCTGTTTCAAAAGAGCTGATTTGGGGTATAAAGATTTTAAAAATATAGGAGGGGGCTTAGCTCATGCGGGAGATTCTACCGGCAGATTCTGCAGTGATGAAACGCCATATCAAGGATTATCAAGGATTATTTCTGAAACAGTATGGAGCTCAAAGGCTTTCTCTCTAGCCGGTTATACCACAAGGTGAGTTCCTTTTGATTTCCTGCTTCTTCACACACATGCTCTCCAGTACAGGTTAGCTCTGAGTGTTAGCAATGCTAATGTAAACCGACCATATTACGTCCAAAACAGTCGGGCATTGTTTCTGATAGCAACTTTCTGATAGTGCCGTGGGTCCACATTTCCGATATTACGTCACATCGGACACAAATCTGGATCAGCTGCGTTGTAGCCCCGTTTTTAGAGATTTGGGTACGGAGGAAAAGAGAGAGGGTTTTATTTTCTGACGCTGCGCGAGTTCCCTGACACACCGGGGACACATATCTATGTATAAAAGACATCAAAAAGTGCATTTTGCATGATAGGTCCCCTTTAACAGTAGAAGAGTGTTTGCTTGCAGCAACCATTCCTCCTCTTCATACTGTCCGATGAAGAGATTCCTTCCTTCTCCTAATGCATGATATGGATATAAAATGTCACAGTACTGAGTCTGTGAAAATATATTACAAAAATGTTTTGATGATAATGTGCGAGTTTATGCATTTGTAAAGTACATCTTCAGTTTCCTTGATGGGCTCTAATGGAGTGACATTAGCACAAAGATGGATCTGTGTTCCTAATATAATGAGTTTGTCAGAAGTTAATTGATGCAGATTTCTAAAGCGTTGCTCACTTGGATAAAACAAAGATTGTGTTCTCCATCACCAACAATACAAGCAGTTAAGAAATAAACTCTAACGAGTATGATCAGGAGGAAATAATGTAATAAATTAAACAGTTTAAACAAAAAAATGTAAGCCTCTTATAATTTGCTTCCCCACCCCTCCAATAATATCGCAGTACCATGATTCACAAACTGACACGCCTTAAAATTGATCTTGTATTGACAGATTGTGGCCAACATTTTATTTGACCCACACAATTCATACAGATTGTTGTTATTTCAGTGTATGGGTGCCATCTTTAAAAGAGAGTTGTGATATTCAAGATGCCCCTGATCGAAAGTTAACCTGCTCATGCATGATGGCAGCCATGTCTCTCTCTGAGAGCTCGTGTCCCGAGGCGTCCAGGTCCAGGTCTCCTCCCATCAGGATGTCCATGGGGGCCTCAGCGATGGCTCTGATGGTGTGGTCCTCCAGGGCCAGGGCCGTGTCAAACTGAAGGGGGGAGGGCGGACCCTGCATCCCGTCCCCTTCCACATCCAGGTCCTGTGTAACAGGAGGAAATCTAAATCTCAACGCAAAACTTGTGGGGGCCATTTTAAATGGTATGTTTGTTTCCTTTTACACCTCATACCACCAGGCAGTGTTATTTTTGTAAATGTAGATTTGGTTAGGAAATCAGCTTCAGCTGCAACTGCTGCCAGGAAGCCACATTTAGAGTTTATGCTTTACATAGAACATTGCACAATACTAACAGCCGATAGCTGTGTAGTCAATCTGAACTTTTGATCATCAGCTTTTTTTGGATTCACAAGATCACATCTGAATCTCTCAGTAGCATTTCCCCAAGGGCTTGTTTAGAGTTACAAATCCTCACTACAGCTACACCGTCTTCTTAAGACGCCCGCCATAATATTATGTGGGTGCTTTCACGTCTGTAGTTTGGTGCATTTTCCAGAGGAAAATAAAAGGGATTACAATGTTTGCCTTTTATAGTTCTGGTGCTCGCACACAGACCCCAAGAGACCGATTTCACTACTGATAACGGGCATACATCTCAATCTTGTAATTCACAATCATTGGAAAGAAACAACGATATTAATCCCATTTCAAATGTCAATATTACATATCGACCATCACAAAGCGATCTGAGATCCTCTTTTTCCAATAGTGGCCTGGGGCTGGTTTTTTTCTTCCAAATGCAAATAAGGAACTAAATGTCTGCATTTACTTTTTTTTTTACATCAGCTTCTAACTTACTTCCTCAAAGCAATGTTAGATCATTTGAACAGCACCTAAAGAAGCTACAGTGGTTGTGAAAGCACCCCAAAACTGCAGGAATCATTTCTATTGATAAGTTTGGAACATGATATTTTTAATAAAATGAATATGTGCTATAGGACAGTGGTAGGAGATCATCACTTCTACGTACATCACTAAACTCTAGGGGCATGCTCTCTGTGGGCTGAAGCTCTGCTGCACTCAGGTACATGTCTCTGCTTGCGGTGGTGATGGGCTCCTGTGGGGGGGGGCTCCTGCTCGGGCTGGAACATGGGGGGCGGCAGGGTGAGGTGCAGCGGGCAGCGGGGGTCCTCAGACTGTCCCATGTGCACTGTGCGTCCACACGGGACATCTTTCAGGCCCGGACACATCTGGAAGAGCACCTGGTTGCTGTCCTGGAAGATGTCTGAGCGGGCGGGGGTTAAGGACAAATCATGACAAACAGAAAAATGGTGACAACTAGAGTCAAACGGATCAAGAAACTGCCCCCCAACTTAAAACTAAAACCATAAGTGCGACTTTTTCCTATATAAAAATAATCCTGTAATAATTTCTCAACATACGAGGCGGGTTATGGTAAATTACAAAAGGCTGAACTGTATTAATGATATGCCCGAGTAGCTGACACCACGAGTTAGGCATTATGTCTGAGCTTTGCAGGGTTTGTACAGCTCAGTGCAGCTCTGGTGGCAGCAGACAGTTTAATGAAAGTACTTGCAATAATATTTGTTCTTGTCGTCAGCAGATAAAGAAAAAGTATACGATTTAAATTATGTTAAATAAAAAATATAAAAAGCATTAAACTACCCTCAATGATTTGGGGATAAGGTTAAGGGATTTTGTTCCTTCCAACTGAAATGATTAGCCCCTTTGTTTCTCTGGGAGAAATCAACAGACCACAGGAAGGAGTTCATGTTGGCGCCCTTTGAAACCTGCAGCTACGGCAAGCAGCACGTCTTGATCGGGGCCGAGGTGAAGAACACTCAGGAACTTTTATATATAAAGAGACAACTCAAGTGCTGAAAACATCTTTGAGGATACGTGAGACGCAGTGCCGGGTCATGGGCAGGCAGGGG